TCTTAGGTCGTAACGCGAAATAAAGGAATTAAACAAGCAAGGATAACTCAAATAGTACAATTAAAGCATGGCGTGAACCTAAGCCTACCGGGACATAACTAGGAATTCTAGCATACACACGTACATTCGTCACCTCATACGTACGCAGCTCCCATAACATGTAGCATATAACAAGAATAACACCTACGGGGTAAATTCCCCCCTCACAAGGTTAGACATGAGACTTACCTCACTCTGAAGTTCTATAACCGACTCCAACGCCTCTCTAGCATCTCAAACCGATGCCCATCGATCCGAAACTGGTCAAACACCATGCAAACCAATAAAAATATACTATAATACTCATAATTAATCAATTTATAACAATTCGTAACTCCGTTTGAAAAGTCAACCCTCGGGCCCATGTGCCCGAATTCCGAAAAATTTCAAAGATAAACATCACCCATAACACCACGAACTCAAATATATAATTTATTCCTAATTCCATGTCAAATTTTGTGGTCAAAATAAAAAAAAATACGATTTCTAGGTTTTTCTTCAAAAATGCCACATTTTCTATGTTAAATCCTTATAGAATCCATGTAATTAACTTACAATATGTGGGAATTACTTACCTTGCAATAGATGATGAAAATCTTGCCTCCAAGAGCTCTAAAAATCGCCCAACCAAATGAAAATGTGAGAGGTATGGGCTAAGTCCCGAAATGAAGTCTTAATAACAGCCTCAGATATCGCATTTGCTACAAGAGGCTCGCAAATACGAAATTAGCATCGCAAATGCGAAGCCCGACCAACACTGTCTGCGTCGCAAATGTGACCAAAGTCTCGCAAATGCGAGTTCAGTGACTTCGCAAAAGTGATAATTTTTTCGCAAATGCGAACTCCCCTGCCCCAGCCCATCTTCTCAAAAGCGAGAATGATCTCGCAAATGCGAGAACAGTGCACTAGAACCAGCTGAACCTCTACCAACTCATCCGGAACGCAAAACTCATTCGAGCCCTCGGGGCTCCAAACCAAACATCCACACAAGTTTAAAAATATAACGCGAACTTGCTCGCACGATCAAAATACCAAAATAACCTCTAGAATCACGAATCGGACTTCAAAACGCATAAAAATTACGATGAACTTCAAGAACTTCTAGATTTGCAACCAATCATCTGAACCATATCAAATCAACTATGAATGACACCAAATTTTGCAGGTAAGTTCCAAATGACGAAACTAACCTATTCTAAGTCACTAACCCAAAATTTGAACTCGATAGCCTTAGAGTCAAACCATGGTCAAACTTAGGAAAAATTCCAAACTTTCAAACATTCAAACTTCGACGAACGTGTCCAATTCATACTTAAACATCCCGGAATGACGCCAAACTTTACACACAAGTCACAAATCACGATATGAAACTATTCCAAGGCTCGAAACCCCAAACGGATATTGATAACACCAAAGTCCATTTCAAACTAAACTTATGAAATTCTAAAACCTTCAAAATGCTAACTTTCCATATTAAGTGCTGAAATGCTCACGGACCACTCGATACTCAACCCGAATATATGCTCAAGTCTGAAATCATCATACGAACATATTGGAACCTTCAAATCTCGATTCTGAGGTCGTTTACTCAAAAGTCAAACCTTAGTCAACTCTTCCAACTTAAAGCTTCCGAATTGAGAATTTTCCTTCCGAAATAACTCTGAACTTTTCGAAATTTAATTTCGACCACACATACAATTCATAATGCATAAAGTGAGGCTACTCAAGGAATCAAACTGTCGGGTCATTACAGGAAACAGTAACAGTCTGATTGCTTTGGGTGTCACACCCGGCTGTCGTTGAGTGACACAAATTGATAGAAAATTCTTCAGATATTGATGTGGGTCTTCGGTGTAAGACCCGGAGAGCAACCCTTTGTTCTGCAGCAAGTGCAACATGTTATTTGTAATTTGAAAATTTTCTGCTTGTATCTGAGGGACTGCAATTGCAGTTGCCAGATTGTCAGCTATTGGTTACACCCAATCATATAGAGCAGCCTCCAGCACAAGGGGTGCAACCACTCTGATGTTTGGGTCAACTTGATTATTTCTATTGTTCCCGTTGATGTTCTCAACATCGCCCATTTTAATTTCGATTTCTTCGTTCTGTTTTAGCTGTTGCCCTTCTTGTTAGCCCGATTCAATGTCCTGAATACTTTCTTGGGATCTAAGAGACCTTCAAATAGTTCACCAGTTCTCAAGGAGCTTCTAGGCATGCACCTGAGGCACAGAAGAATTCAAACATGAGAATTTCAATAGAAATATTTTTAGCACCACGGAAAATTGATCTTAACTAAAAATCCTGGCAATTCTTTCAAGTTGTAATAAATAACACCATTAGTTCCCCAGCAACGATGCTAAAATTTGATCACGCCCAACTATACCTTATAAAAAGGACTAAGCGGTTGCTGCAAAAATAATCTGGTTCAAGAGTCCGAAGTCGAATCCCACATAGAACTAACCTATTTTCTACAACTTTTTAGTATTGCTAATAATAAGCTCAATCAATTTTCAGAGTTCAAGAATTAAGTTATGAATTAACTAAAACTACTTAACTAAGAAAAAAATGGCAATAAAAATTATCAACTAGCAAGAATGAGGTTAAATCAAGGATAAAAAGGTCTAGGGTGTATGATTTCCCCAATTGCCGAATTAATTCCTAACATGTTAGCTATAATCTCGTTATGCCACTCTCTAAAGGTGATGAGTTCTTGTTTATCGCAACTATCTTGCGATCAATTACGATAAATTTAGTAGAAGTATTCTCTCGAATTACTCTAGCTGATAATTTCTACAACTCATAAAGATCACACCAAAGCTTTGTTATCTCTAATCCCGCTTTTAAATCCAAGTAATTAATCTCTAAACTTACTCGAAAGTGGAATTGTTCAACAACAATCTAATCAAGTATTTTCTCTCAAGCAACACAATATAACTAGACACGATTAATCAAGGGCCCTTCAATTAACCACAACAAGCACGTAGTTGAAAAATTAAAGAGTAAAACAACTCAATTATACCAATAAGCAATCAAGAATTCATTCAACAATTGGTTCCATCAAACCCTAGATGACGAGTTTAGCTACTCATAATATTATGCAAGATTACAATATAAAAAGTCATAACCAACAATGGAAATATGAAGAAGAAAGTGAAAAACTCATAGACGAATTCTCCGCCTTACTATTTTTGTGTTCTTGCCTCCTTTTGTTCGAATCCCCTCAAAAAGTGAGTTTAGCGACTATTTATATGGGATAGGGTTAGCATAGGGAGAAATAATACAAGCCAACTTTGGAACAGACGTTTCAGGTTAGCTCGTTCACTCTCTCGTGCGCACGTGAGAGTAAACGAGCGAAGTACTTCTCTTTTTTCTTTTCTTCCCCATTCTCGTGTGCACTTCCACACCCTTTTAGCTTAGTTCACTCTTATTTTCAAGCTTTCCTCAACTAGCTCATTCACTCTCTCGTGTGCACGCGAGAGTGAACGAGCAAAGTTCTTTTGTTTTTTGGTCTCGAATCAACTTCTTTTGCTCACCTTTCGTCCAACTTGCTCATACGCATAAGAATGCACGTAATGAGCATAATTACTACAAAAAATCATGTAATCTCCTGCATTAACACAAGTTATAAGATAAAAGTACACCCAAAAATATGCGTTTTCCACCGTTTATCAGTTGTACTTAGAAATTTTCTAGGAAACTCAGTAGAGCTTATGACTTGTACTACCGATTTTGGGATATTGTATCATCTTGGAATTGTTGGCTTTATATAAAAATATATGGTTTATGTTTAATAGTTATTTTGATTAAATTCTGCCATTTAATTCAGTAAGTGTTAGGCTTACCTAGTCTTAGAGACTATGTACTATCACAACATTCTACGGAGGGAAATTGGGGTCGTGACATATGTATTTGAAACAAAATAGTCCTAAATATTTTAAAAAGAAAAAATGATTGTAAAAGTAGACATTCCAACATAAAAAGAAGAGCCAATACCCTAAAACCCACCTAAACTATACAACCCTTGTCAGTTGCCTATCTAAACTATCACATGTCCCCGAAACCTCCCTGAACTATATCACCCTTCATAATAAAACTCCCTCGTCGCATTCTTACTAGTGCATATAATACACTCTCCAAATTATTTTTAAAATCTGCCACGTGGCAATCTACGCGAATATTTGTTTATTTTAATCTAAAAAATAGACTTAATTAAAATTTTAATACTCTTTATTATATCATTGTAAAAAAATATATGGTAAAAATAAAAAGGGGGTCATGGTTAAAACTATTTGGTCAATTGTAAAAAACTTATTTTCTCTTTGTTCTCATCAGAGACTTTGCTCTCACCGGAGAATGGTTACACTAATCTCTCAGTAGCGATTTTCTCTATTAATCTTAGTTCTAACCTCGATTGCTTTGTCTATTATTGCTTCTGTTCAAATCGGGATAAAAAATAGGATTTCTGCTCCTAAATCGATATAGAAGATTATGATTTTGATAGACCTAAATTCTAAAAATTGTTGAAAGGAGATACCTAAATTATCAATGAAGATAGCTACACACAGGTCATATTTCTTTATTGCCTAATTTCTTGAAAGACATTAAACCTCAAGCTCAACAAATACTTGAAAATGTGTTCCTGCTTTTAAATAATTTTAGTTTAGAAATGAAGGACGGATAAAACGAGAAAGATAAGAAATAAAATCAAAAAATAACAAGAGAGAACTTCAGATGGATTCAAATGATGAAATGGAGAAGTAAGGTGAAAAATGGTGAAAGAGGTAAAAAAAAAATGAGGAATGGATATAGAGAAAAGAGAAGAAAATAAAAAGAAATATAAAATTTGAAAAAGAAGGGCTAATTAGGTGTTAGACACGCCATTTATTACACAAGTTATTGCCACGTAAGCACGAGCGATTTTATTATGAATATAGTACATGGTTTTAGTTTAGGCGTGTTTTAGGTTATTAATAAGTATTGAGTCGGAGAAATTGTGAAAGCAGACAGTGCAAAATAAATAGCAGTCGTTCACCTAAAACCCTAAACCCTCTCCTAAATCGCGAGTGCAGCAGAAATGGGGAAGAAGAAGAAGAGAGCCGAACGAGAAGCTGAATCGGAACCTCTAAATACAGAAAACATCAAAGAGCAAAATGATGCCCAGCTCGCGAATGGGGGTTCGCTGGAGGAGCAGAGGAAGAAAAAGAAGAAGAAATCGAAAGAAAGCGTGTTTAAGAAAGAAATAACCACAGTTTCCATAGCATTACCTGGCTCTATCATTGACAACACTCAATCACTCGAACTCGCCACACGGGTAACTTCCTAATCTTCATTATAATCTTCTCTTTCTCATCGAGTTTCTTTTACATAAGAAAATGAACGACTATGCCTCAATCTCAAACTAGTTATGCTCCGTTGTATAAATCATAATTATCCACTATACTACATTTGAACCGGTTTCATACCCAATTTAGTGTCAAGCGTGTGTTTATTAGAATATGTCTATGTGGATTTAACTTAATTAGCAGCTACTCCATTCCATATGGACCGGTTTCGGTTGTTGTGTTAGCAGGGGCGTAACTAGCCCTTTGGTATGAACCTAGTATTTTTGTACGTGGAGCAAAATATATATGTGAAACCCCACTTAAATTTAATTATTGTTAGATTTAAACCCATAATTTTGAAGATAAATGAGTTCAGTGCTAAGAATCTTAAAGGCCTAGCCTATCAAGTTAAAATCATTGCTTTGCCTCTTGTTGTGTGTGCCTAGAAAACGTCCCTACACATTGGTTATCAACTAATACTACTAGTTTTGGTACTGCATCCCACCTCCTTTATCAGGGTTTGGCACTGGCAATGCGAAGCTCGTAGGGATGGAGTTAGATGAAATAATGTTTGAGAGGAAACAAAAAGTTGGAAGTGATAAATGCATACAATACTTGATTTTTTATGCAACTTATGAAGTGTTTACGGTTTACCATCCAAGTGTTCTAGTAGTTTTTAATTCTGTTACTTATCTTCTAATTATTTGTTATTTTTCTATCTTATATGGGCAGTTGGCCGGCCAGATTGCTCGTGCTTCCACCATTTTTCGGATAGATGAGGTGCTCATATTTGGCAAGTTATTGATTTGATCATGTGTAGATTTTGTTGAGAGAATTGGTAGCGCTTTCAGTATGTGGACGTCATGCCTATATGTTTGAACATATGCATACAATACAAAATCTCTAACAGGGTTACGTGTGGTTAAAAAGTGAAATAACTTGCAACTTTGAGTGCTGAAATGAGTTGTAAGGTTTTTTCTTGAACAGGTTGTTGTATTTGACAACAAAGGCAGTTCTGTGGACGGTTCAGATCCAACTATGGAGGACGAGTCACATGATGATGAAAGTGGTGCTGCATTTCTTCTAAGGATTTTGAAGTATATGGAGACACCTCAATATCTTCGGAAGAGTCTTTTCCCTATGCATAACAATCTAAGATTTGTGGTGAGGATCGCCTCTTGAAATTATAAGAAAAATGTTAAAAATAGTGTGGTTTGCTTGAATTATGAAAACTAGTTTTATTATTTAAATAAATTACTATTGTGTAATTGAATAAATATAATTCAGTACTAGATGGTGCTATTATTAGCTTTGAGAATTGATTTTGATATATTTACTTTTTGTATGGTGAGCGAACAAAAGTTGTGATTGACACTACTATTTTAATGATTTAAAAATAATACAATTTTGATGAGGTTTACTAATTAAGTGCAATGAAATGTCCAAACCAAACAGGCTTAAATTGAATCAATTTCGTGATTCTTAATCTTAAATTCACTATTTGTATTCAGGGTTCATTGCCGCCACTTGATGCCCCACACCATTTGCGGAAGCATGAATGGGCTCCCTATCGAGAAGGTAGCATCCTAAAGAATACTCCTATCATTTGCATGTTTGTTACGACTTGCACACTAGCAGAAGATCAAAGAACTAAAAGGACCTTGCGCTCAGTCACTTATTAATTGTTAATTTTCTTCCTTGCTAAACTCTCGTATAATGAATGTGTTTCAATATTATGCTTACAAGCACATTCTCAATTCCATATCTTGCAACAACTTCGAAATGTTGATTTTTAGAAGAGAATAGCAAAATAAATCTTATATGTAAATGTTGCTCTCCATATAAAAGCTCAGACTATCTTGATTTCCATTTCCCAGTATCCTCCATTGGGGAGGTCTGGCACACATAGTTTTGGCCCCTTGGATCAGCAAGGGTGTGATTGAGATGGTATTTGATATAAGTTTTTTTTTTTTTTAATTTTTAAGTTGCTCTCCCCAATAGTACGATCATACATGAAAGTGATGAACAGTGTGATCATACACAAAAATGATGGCCTTTTCTTTGGCATATATGTAATTAATTACGTGTGCATGGCTGTGTGCATGCACTTGTCTCTGTCTATTGCATTGGCATTTGATGGGGTTATTGGTGGATAAGGATTCTGGCCGCTTGAACAGTCTATATGGTGTAGGTGTATAATTAAAAAATATCTATATCTCTATTTATAAATGATATATGGTGTGATGGTGCAAAGTTTGTTGCATATGATGGCTTACACTTGATCTCTGAACTTCAGGTAGGTCCTGTTGAAAAATTCACTTTACTGATGCTACAACTTTGCACCTATCTATTGTCTTTAGCTAATATATTTTGACCAAAAATAGTTATTCTGTTTGGCATTGAGGCACAATTTTTGTTGCGTATCGTTACCTAAGTACAAGAGTTGGAATATAAAAATTCTAGAAGACTATATAATGTAATGGTCTGTTTTGTTTTCAAACCAATCATGTTCCTGGTCAGTTTTCAAAGATATGATAAATGGATTATGGTGCAAAGTTTGGTGCATATGATGGCTTACACTTGATCGCTGAACTTCAGGTAGGTCCTGTTGCAAAGTCCACTTTACTGATGCTATAACTTTGCACCTATCTATTGTCTTTAGTTGATGTATTTTGACCAAAAAATAGTTATCTAGTTAGGGATCTAGGCATAGCTATTGTGTATAGCTACCTAAAAACAAGATTTGAAATACAAAAATTCTAGAAGATTATCAAAATTTAAGGGCCTGTTTGGTTGTCAAAGCAAACATGTTTCTTCTTTGTTTTCAAATATATGGTAAATGGGATATGGTGCAAAGTTTGATGCATATGATGGCTTACACTTGATCGCTGAACTTCAGGTAAGTTCTGTTGAAAAATTCGGTTTACTGATGCTATAACTTTGCACCTATCTGTCTTGATTAAAGAAAAAAGACTTTTGTACCTATTTAATTGACATATAAAGTTCTAGATGGAAATATAGTAAATAGAAAAACTAAGGGGCCTATTTTGACTCAATACGAATCTTACATTAGATGTTTAAATTACCTAATTTTCCCTATCTATCAAGTAAATTTCTTTCTTCTCCTTGTAACATCTCTTCAGAATAATTTCTCAAGTACTTTTGTGATCTGGTTATCCCTTTTGTTTATCGTGTTGTGTTGTGATCTAAATATCATCTTGACACACTTGCTGGATAGGTAACACCCCGAGACATCTTTTTCTGTTTCTAGGTGTCACATTGAAGGATCGAAATTTAAAATCTGGAAGCACACTTGTTGACATCGGGCTTAGCAAGGTACTTCATGCTGCAATTTCGACGTGTTGTCTTACTTTGTGTACAGGCATGTGGTTGCTACTTTTTTCCTTGTAGTGTAGCTGTTGTCATCATGACTCATACCGTTTCTGTAGCTGATAGGCAGATTCACTTTGAATGTTAAGAAGCGTACGTATGCAAATGAAAGAAGAATCTACTCACTAGCAGAGTTTGTAACAGTAATACAATTGGAGCTACTCTCATATCTCATTTCTATTTCATATTCTTCAGATTGACTGTTACAGTTATCATTGTTTTGATGAAATATTGTTAAGATGGGCTTAGATATGAAGGAGAACAACTTAACCTGGAATGTGGTTTCAAGATATTGGTAAAATGGTATTAAATATGGGCTATGAGAAAAAAACCACATAGAAGCTGTATGTAAATTAGGCAATGTTGTTATTCTTTTTTGATTTATTGATCTTTATTTGCTTTCAAAAGCTAGAACTTTGCCATTTCCTAGGGTCCTTTTTTTCTTCAAAATATGAAGTTGGTCAGAAAGAATAGGATACATGGAGATGGAGTACCTATGTGGATTTGGTCACCAGTTTAATGTGAAGCTAAGTGTAGATTCTTTATCAGACTTTGAGGACTGTGAAGCTGAGTGTAGATTTTTTTCATTCTATGAGGATTATTTGGCTTGATGTTCAATCATGAGGTTGGAACGCTGAATGACCGAATCGGGGCCTTTGTATGCAGTGCTTTGCCATTGCTTCCTTTACCCCTTGTTTTCCAATGGTGTGGCTGCTTGAAAAGCAAAAGTTCTATTTGTCATTAATAGGATGTTTGGGATTTTATTTCCCCCCTTGTCTTCAAATAAATTACTATTGCTGCATCCCGGAACAAGAAATCACAGTGTTGGCATTTTTTATTAAATTTTTTGGTTTTTTTGTGTTGGCCATCAGTTTATATTGCTAGTTTTACGCAGCCTGTCGCAATTGATCAAGTCATTGACCCAGGAAAAAGGGTGACAGTGTCCATGGGAACAGAGAGAAACTTGAATGCAGGTCTGTACCAGAACTATACGACTTACATGGCTGTATATCTTGCTTTCCTTTCAATATTTGTTGTGCTTATTTGACCNCTTTGCAAACCTTGTTGATGTTTGTAGACTTCAATATAGTTTGTAGCTAACCCCGGCACAATGCGCTGTAACGTTAAAACATTCCTAATTTCTCAAACTTATCGAACTTGCTTACATGATGTTTTAGTAAAACAACCAAGGAAGCAAATGCTTCCAGAAAACTGTCTGCAAACCTGAAGTACTGCCACTGGAACTGCTCTATTCAATTAATATTGTTGTTGGCTACTTGAGTTCACAATTCCGAATTTCAATTCTCAGACATACCGCATCAGGTCGTCTCTTCTTCAACACCTAGGGAAGATGCAGGGATGTATTGGGGATATAAAGTACGATATGCTCCAAACATCAGTTCGGTATTTAAGAATTGCCCATACGAGGTATTTGTGGTTTAGTGTGCTCAACCCCTGCTTCAGAAGCAATGTATAGATGATAAATGTGTAACACCTCTTGTTTGATTAGGGAGGGTATGATCACTTGATTGGTACCTCAGAGCATGGTCTTGTTATGAAGTCCTCGGATCTTATTCTCCCATCATTCAGGTATATTGTCTACAGTTGGTGGCGAAATTTTTGTGTGTGGGTAGCCATCTTTCTTGTCTTGTAATACTTGTAGCTTAATATGTTCCTAGGCTGAATGATTTTGGAAAGCACTTCTTTTTCATCTTTATCGAGTAATGCTATATAAAATGCGTGCTGACCATGTGGAAAGCCATTTCACAGCAAAGGCTTCAAGGGAAAGAAAAGTGAGGACAAATAACATCTCCACCTTTGGGACTTGTTAGCAGAGAAAGCTTCTTATTTCTTTATGTCTTTTCATTTTTTGTTGGCTGAATTCCTTGCTATTGTGTTGTATTTGACTGAAGGACATCTACTACCCAAATATTTTCTGCTTATAAACCCTAACCTTTATCCTCTTCCATTTCTCTATTTATATGTTCCCCCTTTTTGGGCTACCAATTCACAACTTAAAAAGCTGGTGAGCTCTGTAACAGGTACCCGTTTCTTGAATCTTGGCTAATTGTCCATGTTGTCCATCGTTGTTTGAGGGTATGGGTTGTTGTCTTCTTATAGGGTCTTGTGCAATTCACCTCATGACCTAACTCTTAGGGTTGAGTTAGATCTAATTTCCATATTCTTAATTTGGTAACAGAGAGAGACATACCATCCTTGACCTTGGTTTACTCAATGTTATGCTCTCAAGTTATGTTGTCCACGCTCTAGATGTCTAGTCCTAAGCATACGGTATGGGTTGTTGTCTTCTTACAGGGTTTTGTGCAATTATCATCTCATGACCTAATTCTTAGGGTTCAGTTAGGTCTAATTTTCATATTCTTAATATGGTATCAGAGACAGATCATCCTAGATCTTGGTTTACCCAATGATGCGCTCTCATGTTATGTTATCTATGCTCCAGATATCCATTTCTGAGCATAGAAGAGGGGTGTGTGTTAAGAGTCCCATATTTTTTGAGTGTACGTGTTGTTGTCTCCTTGTATGGGCTTAGACAATCCTCACCTCATGAACTAGTCGGCCTAATGTTCAAACTGTTAATAGGTCATATTTGCTCTATCTTCATATCAAACATTAAATAGAAGTGCAGAAGTCTTTTCTTGCTTTCTTTTCTGAACGATTTTGCATTACGTTGAAAATTTTATTCTCGTATGACGGCTTTGGGCTACCTTTTCATGGAACTGGCTTATCCTTGAAGTGAGCATTGGGCTCAAAATATTGTGTATTTATCTGTTAATGCAGTTGGATTTTGTCTTGTTTTGTCTTAATCTTTAGGCACCTCCTAATTGCTTTTGGTGGACTTGCGGGGTTGGAAGAGTGTATAGAAGAAGACAAGAGCCTAAAGGTACTATTTATGGAAAGTTATTTAATTGAATATGCTAGGTCTCCAAAGTTAGAATCTTTATTTAATGAAATGAAGTATGTAGGTATTCCTTTATTCAAATATAGGTATTCTTAATGTTTGAATCTTTATTTTTAAATGATCACCTTTCACGTCTTGCCCATGAAATTAGAAGCAATTTTTCTGTGGCAAGTTGTAGTTTCTGTGACCATCTCCTAAGGCACACGTTCTCTTATTTAGTGTTTGATCAACTTTGAGCATATAGGGACAATATTTAATCATTCTGATGTTCCAGAACATTAACTGCTAGAGTTCTAATAGATTTACAAGTGTTTAGTGAGGGAAGAAGCAGATGAGCTGTCATTGAATTGATCTTTCACCATTCAGGGGAAAAGTGCAAAGGAGGTATTTGATTTATATTTGAATACATGTCCACATCAAGGAAGCAGGACAATTCGGACAGAGGTACTTCTTCAGGCCTTTTTTAATGTGTGTGTGTTTGTCTCAAGTTTCTAAGTCAGAGCAACTCTTTTGCCACCAGTGAGGTGTCCACTAATAGTACTTCCGACCTTTTCTGCAAACAGGAAGCCATCTTCATTTCTCTCCAGTACTTACAAGAGCCAGTCGACCGTGTTTTGCAGAAGATTTAGTACCTTGGAAATTACCGACCACCTCAAGAACCTAGAATAATATGTCAGAAGCTTCTGTATGAGACCTCTTCTAAGCTCAGATATTGAAAAATCTGTCAAGAGGAGGAAATCACGAGTTTATGGCAGTTGGTGGAGGTTCCTCCTGATTTGGGGATTCGAGATGGTTGGATTATGAGTGGGTTTTGATTGCTCAGAGAATTCACTTGGCTGTACTCTTCCGCTACTCTGCCGCTATAAGTTTTCTACCAATGGCAGCTGAATCAAAAATATATTCCTGCTCAAACTTCCAACTTCAAACCCCTGTTTGCGTACATCAAGTTGGGGAGCCCTCAAATTTTGTGACCATTGTTCGTATTCATTTGATAGTCTTCTTCTACTCTCTCTTTTTGTACTCTCTTTTTAACATAAAACTAACTAGGTGAAAGTGAGTTTAAAAGTTGACTTTAGAGTTTGGTAGACTGGGTGTCAATTGATCTTCAGGTTAAGTTGAGCTGATTGGTCAACTATTTTTATTGTGTACCTCTAGTTCTATAAACTTCATGGGAGCTTCCATTCTATAATTCTTGTAATTTATAAAATGATGGAGGCTTGATTCAACGCAAATTTTCAAGTGTCACATTGACAACACCAACAATTCTGTCTCAACCCCAAGGTAAAGTGGGTGGGTTGGCCATATGCATGTTGCTTTATTTAAGCTTTTCTTGTTCTAATATTATAAAAAACTAGTAGTTTTAAGCACTAGAAATTCTCTCAATTTTCTATTGGCATGTCTTTGTTCAGACCACGGACTCATTGACAAAATATTTGAAACAACTGAGTAGTAGGTTTCCTTACTTTTGCATATAGATCTTGTATGCGGCCTTTTACTTCATAATTCATAATCTAAACAAAAATGACAATAATGGCTTAGAACTTCAAATTAATGTGCAGATTTATAGCCTGTTTGGCCAAGCTTCTAATATCAGCTTATTTTGAATTTTTTTTTTTCAGAAGTGCTTTTCAAAAAATTCCTTTTGGTGAGAAGTAATTTGTGTTTGGTTAATTAATTTGAAAAATATTTTTGAGCAGCAATTAGTGTTTGACTAATTATTTAAAAAGTGCTTCTAAGTGTATTTTCTTAGAAGTGTTTTTTCTTTTCGGGCCAAATAAGTGAAAAAATTGGCTGGAACTTCATCAATTTAGCCAAATAAAAATATTATATCTAAAATAATGGAGTACCAAATATGTATTTTTTGTTATTTTTACTTTAAATATAATGGCTATTTATTTTAACTTTGCATTTTTATTTTTGAGTCAAATCAGTAAAAACAATTGGCTACAACTCCATAATTTTTTACCAAATAAAAAAGTATAGCCAAAATAATGAACTTGTAATTGTGTACTTCTTTATTATTTCTTCTTTAGATGCAACAATTATGTATCTTAACTGAATTTTTTTCGGGCAAAATATGTAAATAAAAGTACTTGCTTAGAGCTCCATAATTTTTAGCTAAATATATTTTTTAGCCTAAATAATAAAGTTGAAACTATGTTATAAAATTTAGATCTTTTTTTAGATGTTATAAAAAATTTATTTTTACGGTGTATTTTTACTTTTTAGGCTAAAATTTTAAAACAATTAGCTGAAACTTTATCATTTTTAGTCAAATAAAAGAATTAGCCAAAATGATGGAGTTATACCCTAGTTGTATTACAAATTTTATCCGGAAAAGATGATCTAATAACGGCAAAGGTCCAAATATACCCCTCTATTTTCAAAAATGGTATGAGAATACCCCTCGTTATACTATTGAGCTATCTATACCCATGCAGTCATACTTTGGGTTCAAATATAGTGCTCATTTAAATGGAGGGACACGTGACATCGTCATGTTGGCCAATTCTAAATATCTCCTAATTAATTAAAAAGACCCATTATTTGTTACCTGAAGCAATTTTCTAAAGCAATTTTTTTTGTAAAAACTGGAAAAAAAAATGAAAATATTTTTTTCCAGTTTTTACAAAAAAAACTGCTTTAAAAAAACTGAAAAATATTTTTTAAAATAATATTTTTGTAAAAACTGAAAAAAATAAAAAGTAATTTTCTAAAGCAATGAAAAACTGAATGTTTTTTTTTTACTAAAAACTGAAATAATCGAAAATATTTTTTTCCAGTTTTTAGAAAAATATTGCTTTAAAAAAAACTGAAAAATAATTTCTAAAGCAATTATTTTTCTAAAAACTAAAAAAAAAATTGAAAAGTTATTTTCTAAAGCAATGTTTTTTTAAAAACTAAAAAAACAATTTCTTTTTAAGTTTTTAGTTAAAAAAATTCAGTTTTTTCTAGTTTTTAATTGCTTTAGAAAATTATTTTTCAGTTTTTTTCCAGTTTTTATAAAAATATTGTTTTAGAAAATATTTTTCAGTTTTTTTGTAAAAACTTTAAAAAAAAATATTTTCGTTTTTTTCATTTTTTAATAAAAATAAATTCAGTTTTTTTAGTTTTTACAAAAAAAAAAAATTGCTTTAGAAAATTACTTTTCGGGTATCAAATAATGAGTCTTTTTACTTAATTAAGAGATATTTAGAATTGGCCAATAAGACGATAACACACGTCCCTCCGTTTAAATGAGGGGTATATTTGAACCCAAAGTATGACTGTAGGGGTATAGATAACCCAATAGTATAATGGAGGGTATTATTAGACCATTTTCGAAAGTACAAGGGTATACGTGGACCTTTGCCGATCTAAAAATCTAATACATTTGAAAAGGTAAAATATATATTTTATTATTAAAAAATATCACGTGGACAAAAAAACTACGTCGCAGGTGCGTACATGCCACTTTCCTGAGATGAGATTATTCAAGGAGGTAACAATTATAAATAGTTTAAGGACGTAACCAATAATCCGTACCAAATTTTAGAGGCGGTGGGTTTACGGTATTCTACCAAAATAAAAAAGCGACCGGGGAGAGAAAAGACATCATCATTCTCATTCCAAAATTGATTAAAATTGAGAGGTTTATCGTCTATATCAATTTTTTTGTTTTAATGAGCTTCTTCTTCGATAGTATATGATCTTTTGGTTCCCGGTGATGCCATTGCATAGTAACGAGAATTGATTCTAAGTAAAAAGTTGATTTATATAAGATTTTCTTTTAGAAACACTTGATGAAGTCATATTATGAAAGAGCTTATCCATTAACATTATTTTTTGAGCACCTGTAATTGTTAAATGTTTTATGTTATAATATTTGAATTCTGAAGTATAGAAAGGAAACAAGAGAGTAGAATATAACAGTTTTTATAAATAAATAAGGTTATGAAAACAGGCGAATAAGATAATTTACTGAGTGCAACTAAATCAAATCCGTAAAAAAATTACTCATATTTTATGGAGTGCAATTAAATCAAGTTTGTAAAAGATATTATATTATTTTCACGTAGATTCTCCACATCATTTCAATTTTACGGAATGTTCCCGTAAGGACATATTATTTTCACCTAAATAAATATTCAGATATCGGTAATTGGTGATTACAAAAATTTACCTTAAATTAATAAACTAAGTAATCAGCGCCGAATATATGATTTTCTTTTCAAGAAAAATGAAAATGAAATAATAATAATAATAATACAAACCAAAATTAAGAAGGGGGTAATATAGTCATTACGTAACAAAGGAGCTCACCGTCATTAAAAATTGGACAGGGGGTTTTCAGTAAATTTAGTACCTGATCGATTTACAAAACGAGAAGCCCAATCCGAGTCGAATAGAAAGGGTTTGGGAGAAAGAGAGATAAGGAGGAGAGAAAAGGCTCGTTTTAAGTTTTTCGTTTTATAGTTTTAAGAACTTTTAACAAAAATTCAAAATCTCAAAAAATTAAATACAAAAACAGTCCTCTTCGCGCGCAGTTGTTAAGCCTCACTGGAGCCAGCCATGGTGGCTCAGGTAGTAGAGACCACCGCCGCTGCCGCCGACGATGGCGGAGGAATTGGAGGAATTAGAGGTTCTCCAATCGCCGTTGATGAATCTCAGGAGGAGCAGTTAGAGAAAACGAAGACGTTGATTTGCGCTCTCAATTTCCTCTCACGCAATCTCCCGATACCTCCTGACGTCTTCGATGCCGTCTCTTCAATTTACCACGGCGGCGCTGATGATATAGATGTCGGTGACGATGATGCCTCCGCCGCTGCTGACGTGGACAGCCGCGACAGTGTGTCTATGCGAGTGAGTAGTTAGAAATTCTTATTGAGATTAATCTCTCTCTTCTTTTTTTTTTTTTGAATATTTCACATTATAGTAATTGTGCTAGAATACTGTTACATTTCGCTATACTTTTATGTGATAGATGTTGATACATAGAGGCACTGAGTATATGATCTTCTCAGCTTTAGAGGGGAAAAAAAAAAAGCAATACTAGGGCTTGATACATTATTTGCTTTTCATATACATACATATGTGCATTAGAACCGCACATACTTATGTTATACACACATATATACATAATGTATATGTATTCTATACTTTTAGATGTACTACATATAGGCACAATGCACTATATGTTTAGATGCAGATCCTAAAGGCAGTGATGGAGCTAGGAATTTCAGCAAGGGGATTCAAAAAATGCGAACTTGCAATCTAAAACAATTTTTGAACTACCTTTGCCACTGCATAATAACTTCCTTTATGTCAAGGGGATTCAAAAGTTCTTATATATACGAAAAAAGTTTGTTTTTGCCCTATTTACACAGTAGAATTTTCTAACAAAGGGGATTAAATTGAATCCTCTTCATTGGCTAGGGTTCCGCCACTGCCTACATAGTATACTTTTCTCAAGGTTATAAAGAAGTTAAAACAAGACTAGGGCTTAATACGTTATTTGCTATTCAATTTACTTTTTTTCTTCGTATTAAAGTTAATCCTTTTTCCCAAGATTTTTCGCTTTTGTAAATACTCTATGCTGCTGTTGTTTTAGTAGAGGTTTCAGTAGATGCCATTTGGACAAATGTTAACAAATTGAGTTGTGAAGTATAGCAGTATGCAGTTTGTGTTGATTGGTATGTAGTTTTTGTATGTTTAAGCATGAAGAAATAGGTATCTTTTTTTAAGACACTTTTTTCCTAGAGGATGAGTTCTTAAAATTTGTGTAATTTGAAGTTGTTGATGAAGCATATCTGAGTAGTCAAGCTATCATTTGTTTATTTGCTTAATTTGGGATCTGAACCACGATTGAGTTGGATCAAGAAAGTAGTCATTTTCAAATATTATGCCTCTTAGTTTAGTCTTTAATGCTACCAATATGTTTTTCCTTATATGCAGAGTGGTTCAGGTATGGGAAGTTACGGAGACCTGATGGCAGATTTTGAGGATTCGTTGTTGAGGCAACGGTCAAGTTGTACATCAGGTTCTGGTTTGACAAAGTTAAAGGAAGATCGTTTTCAAAGCCATATCCAGCATCGCCTAACTGAACTTGAAGGTAAGTGTAGCTCAGAAATAATGGATATCCGTGGAATCGTTTGACATGGTTCTGCATATACTTAGGGCTGTTTTGAACATGATGTGGAGATTTTTACATAGCGTCATTAGTTTTTTTTGCGTTAATATGTTTTTAGAATGGTTTTTGCCTTTCACTTTTGAGGTTATAGAATTTGAGGTGCTAAATCCTCTTGCTAGTGACATAATTAGGTTTATTGAAATGCTTAGTAGGTATCCTCCCTAGCAGACATGTCGTTCGACGAATTTGATTTTGTCATAGTATTCATCAGAGTGAATCTATTTAGATTATGAGAAAAAGGCCTATATATATTGGCCAATTCATTAGTTCTTAGAAATGCTCTATTTGAACATGCCCAACCATGCAGCTCCTGATACCAAAGCCTCATTATCTTCATCATTATCTTTTGTCTTTTTCTTTTTGGGAGAGAACAGCATGCATCGTTATCTTTTCTGTTTGACAATGGATAATCAAGTTCGAGCATAATCTGTTGACGCATGTTATGCGTGTGCTGGGGCTTAATGTAGGTTTTGGTTGTTGCGAGTCTAGCTGTTTGCTGAATTTTGGCTTTCAATGTTACTATCATCTCTCTTTGTTCTTACTATATCATTGCACCTCTCTACTGGTTTTGTCAAGTTATAAGTAACCCCCCACCCAAGCCCAACCCAAAGTGTTCTGTTAGCACAGAACTTGGATAATAAGATTATCTTGTTCACTATAGAGGGTAATCACTCAACATGTTGCGATATATTTATATTCAGCAATGCTGTATGCCCTTTATGCCAGCCCTTCTTATACATGTGGCAAATAGCTTATACTTTCATCTATTACCAGACTTGCCAACCAGCAGAGGCGAGGACTTGCAATCGAAGTGCTTGCTGGAGCTTTATAAACTAAAGGTAAAGGAACATGTGGCATGTTGTTGTTTAATAAGACATATGACTGCTATTCATGATCTGTCCATTTCAAAGGTTTATCAGGGTTTTCTTTTGTGATATTCTTTTTCGTCTAAGTTGTATTCAACCACGCCAGTTATCTTGCAAATCAATTGTAAGATGTCCTCCCCGCTTTAAGGTACGGTGAAATAAACAGGAGTATTTCTGACCTTTCTGTGTTACATTTTTAAAAAAGCATAAAGGTATGCTTCTGACTATGACTTAGTGGAACTATGTCGACGGTGAAACAATAGTATTACAATTTTTTGTAGTAAAGCCCTTATCTTATGTAGCATGGGTACGGATACGAGTGTTATACTCTGCATGACCTATGAGTACAATATGAAGGTACAGAAATTTTGATTATGGGGATATGATGCACAAATTTGGGGGCAATATTATGTCCACATTTTTTATATATTTCATCATGTTCTACAATCTTATGAATTTTTCCAGAAGCATTGATATCTATTCAAAATCAAAGAAAGAAGCAAATATACACATGCTACTTAAACCTATCAATATAATGATAAAATGTTTCTGAAACATTAAATACAATAGGAATCTATCAAAATATTAAGCTTAAGCAACAAAGTTTGTTATTATGATAATAATAATCCCAAATCTTCCTTTTATAATTGCTTTTTGGCCCATAATTATCCAATAGACTCGAAATTTGGGATATCCTAAAATAAGAATAACTTGTCTCCCAGAAAACAATATAACTTTTTTCTTTTGATACAGAAGTGGTTCCCAGTTCAGAATTTAGTTAATGTGCTTCATTGCCCTAATCCCCATTAGTACCTGCCATACTCCCAAGCATCTGTAGCTCAACAAATTGTGAAACTAATCCATCTCCATTATGCTTAACCTGGGAGGAATTCTTTGTTTTCTGCATCATATGCGCTAGTGGACAGACTAACCACCTATTTGAGCTTCTATTTTTTGGCTATAGAAGTGGTGTAGGTGGTTGGCAATGGTTTTACTTCTCATTGTTATTTCTACTTTGCAGTTAGCAGATTTACAATGCAAAGTTCGATCTGAGCTGAGTTCTGAATACTGGCTTCGCCTGCATTGCGCTAATCCTGACAAGCAATTGTTTGACTGGGGGATGACGCGATTGCGACGCCCTTTATATGGTATAGGAGATGCCTTTGCTGTCGAATCTGATGATCCTTTGAGGAAGAAGCGTGATGCGCAGGTAAAGTGATATATGCCTTGGAGCCTGTCAATTGTGCCATATATGTGATAGCGACAGTTGCAAGACTCAAGTTAATGTTTTTAAGCACAAAGAATGTAGATGCTTTCTTTTTTCCTCTCAATTTCAAAGATGGGTGTTTGGTCTTGATATAGGAAAGTACAGATAGTCTTAGCCATCTCTGCTATCTATTGGTAAAGCTGAGAAGAGAGCTAAGCTGAGAATTTGAGATTTTAAGAATCAGTCCACTGTCTTTAATTCTTGTGACTTCATGATAGGAAGCTTTTATATGCTAATTTTACAGAATTTGATGTCAGAAGCCTGTTGGTAACAACAATAATTTTTTCACAGAGGTTGTCAAGATTAGAAGAAGAGGAAAGAAACCGTGTGGAAACTACGAAAAGAAAGTTCTTTGCGGATGTACTCAATGCAGCACGTGAACTCCAATTACAAGTACAGGCTGTTCAGAAACGGCGGAAACAAAGGAATGATGGTGTTCAGGCATGATATTGTTTACTCTCTCCTATTTATTCTACTGTCTATTCATTTATTCAACTCCATGTGCATAATTGAAAATACCATGAACCAAAATTGAGTTGTGACCTAGAGAGCGGATGCAGTCTTCACCTGTTATACTCTTAGAATGTGGCGGATTTTATCTTGGCTAAATGAAGCAATCTCTGTTTCATAGGCTTGGCATGGAAGGCAAAGGCAACGGGCTACTCGTGCTGAGAAATTGAGGTTACAAGCTCTGAAAGCTGATGATCAAGAAGCTTACATGAAGATGGTGGAGGAAAGCAAGAATGAAAGACTAACAATGCTTCTAGGGAAAACAAATGAGCTCCTTGGTCGTCTGGGAGCTGCTGTTCAACGGCAAAAAGATGCTGATCATGATGGTATTGAACCTATGGAAGGCTCAGATGCTGAAATGGCCCCTTCTAAGACTGGAACTCCTGGGCAGTCGTTTCCTGAGGAAGAAGAGGATGTTCTTGATGATGAGCCCACGCGTAATGTAAAGACTAGTGACTTACTTGAAGGTCAGAGAAAGTACAATTCAGCTGTACATTCAATCCAGGAGAAGGTAAAGGGACATGCCTCTTCTCTGTTATCTTTTACTTTAAATATTCCAGGGAGTCTTGTTGGAAGTTGTGCCTAAGTTTCAGATATTGAATGCATGGTTGGTAGCAAAAGTTGAACCTTCCAGAGGTTTTCTAGATTTAGAATCTCATCCTTTCTTCTAGTTCTTTGGTCGATGTGCTTGAGTTTCGTATTGGTTGTGACTGAGTGTCTTCTCATTTCATAGCAGGGTTTCCATATTCAGAAACTATTGCTGTTGATTATTTCAGATGATCTCGTCAGCGTTTTGTTACTCATGACTGGTGTTTCGTTCTTACAAAAGAAAATCCATCTTTTATCTAATCATGAAGTTTAATTAAGTGCAAGTATTTAGATTCTGATCAGTTGTATTCTATAACGTGAATATGTGGTTAAACTGATTCGCTCCTTAAGTTTCTGTTCTTACTTCCTTTGTTTTATGGAAATATTAGACCTAGCATGTTGCCATATTATCTGAATTGAATGACTATTCGGATATGTTGTTGTGAGACTCTTTTAAATCTCCACTACTTTATAATGTGGAACTGAGCTAACTAAACCATAGAATGTGTTACCTCTTTTTAGTTATGCACTTTGTGTTGGTGTCATCGTCCTGTTTTGCCTCCAGACCAGCTTCACCATTCAGGCTTTATGATATATTTTCTTTTAAGTCGTAAGAAGTCAATAATCTTAACTAATTTTATACCACATCCAATCTTGATTTCTATTCTCCAGTCCCAAAATATCATGTTACGTCCATTATTTGTTTCTAATCTCAGCCGAATGGCTTCAAGCTGATGTACAAGGATCTTACCATTTATGACTAACTCCATGACGATTGCAATATAGCTGTTTTCCCTTTTACAACTGAAATCTTATTAGTATTTCCATCCCTTTTTTTGTGTTAGTGCTTTTGCAAATCTAATGCAGTATTCATATTTGTAGGTTACGGAGCAACCAGCTATGCTTCAGGGTGGAGAATTAAGACCATACCAGCTGGAGGGGCTCCAGTGGATGTTGTCTTTGTTTAATAACAATTTAAATGGAATTTTAGCGGATGAAATGGGACTCGGCAAAACGATCCAGACAATTTCTTTAATTGCTTATCTTATTGAAAACAAGGGTGTAACTGGTCCCTACTTGATTGTGGCTCCAAAAGCTGTACTACCTAATTGGAGTACTGAATTCTCTACATGGGCTCCCAGGTATGCAC